ATACAATTTTTCTCCTTACACTCACTGTACTGAAACCATAACCCAACCCCTACTTAGCCATTGGTGGTTTCAGCACGTCCCATAACTCAGCCATTGGTTGTGTTCAGCACGTCCGATAACTCACGCGCCACACTGAAGACAACATTCCAAAGTTTTTCTCCTAATTTGATCCGGGGTCCTTCGGTCGTGGGATACGTGCCATGGCCGTGGTTTAGGGGTGGGGACGGTACCATTTTATTGCTTGGTGTTTTAGTCTAAACAAATACCAATGTAGATGTATAGATGTATATACAGAGAGAAATAAAGAAAGAGGGAGAAAGAAAAAAACAGACGTACAAAGTTTTCTTGAAAGCGGCTGTTGCTAGTCAGAAGAGAACGGCTAGAAACACCAACTTTGAAGACAAGGACTGAAATGGAAACGTATTGTGATTAGCAATTACAAAGAGATTTTGAATGTATGTATAAATCGAGCAGTAAAAACAAAAGATCTAAATAATAGCTATAAGTATCCACTTTTGTTTTATTACTTTTGGTTCATTTTTCCAGAAAACAGAAGCTACAAACTTGGAAATGTTTGAATTGACGTCATGAATGTGTACCTTTTTTGTCTTGACGTCACAAAATTAAATTTTTCCAAATGCGCTCTTAAGGAGACGCGTGACTCGCATATTTTCGAGGGTAGTTTTATACCTTGTACCCTCCCCCCACTCCCACTATTTTCAGGCGTGTTTAAATAGCTTCTACCCAACCCAACCCTCCCCTCTCCCTCCTCTCCAACCCCCCCCCCCCCCCCCCCCATAATTTTCAGGCGTGTTTTAATACCTTCTACCCAACTTTTCTCCGGTCAACTTATTAAAAAAAAGATAGCTGAGAACGGAGAAAATCTTGTTTTTGTAGGTCCATGCTGATATCGATCCACACCCCCCGGGGTCTGAGGTACACGGGACTAATACATCAGTACTGGGATCAATCTATGGGGGTGGGGGCTGAGGGGGTCATGTTATATTGGTCAACGTGTGGGTGGAAGAGTGGCCAGTGATGGACAGTGGTCAGTCCTGGAAGCCTGCTGTCTGCTTACACTGGGTTTATTTGGCTGGTTGACAGAATACATCATTCAAATACGGTCAGTTTATCCCACTTTTAACAGGCATTGGGAAATACCACTTTTGCACACAGTTATTGGGATATATACGATCATATAATAAGCATAGGAATATAACACTTTAGAAAATACCACGGTTTAATTGATAATTACTGATACCACCGTTTAAATGCCATTAAGAAATACACATTTGTTATATTGTTAAGAGAAATAGTTTTAATATAGCTATTGAAATGGTCCAGCTTTAGAAGTCATTGAAAGACGTTTTATTTTAACACAAACATTTTGCAGATACCATCTTTTATCAAACATGTGTGCAATAACTTTTGGAAAAATAAAGAAAAAATCTCTCTGATGAAGGCCAACAGCTGATACCGAAGTTCCAAACAGCATTCATGTTTGTCTTTGAAGTGAGCGAAAAAAAAAAGTTAAATTTAAAAAATTTAAAACTTTAAAACTGTAAGCTGAAACTATCTTTTCAAGCCCTGTAAAACATTAACTCTGAAGAACTGAAATTTGAAAAACAAACTGTTTACACTTTAAAAGGGGAACTTTGAAATGAATAAAAATTCCTTATCGAAACCACGCAGGAAGGAGGAGCTGTTCATTGCTGTGTGGGTGTAGACAAACGAACCGTCCACAATCTCCAATTTCTCTCCAGACCCCACTTTGCCCGCGAGTTTACAAAATGTAACGGTATTAAATTTCTAAGCCGCGATCTCTCTTAAAAAGCCATAGAATTCCATCGATAAAAGGGTGCATCGGCAGAAAGGATGCCGTTTGCACCCATCACACATGCTTGCTTGTCTCGGCTGGAACTTTTTCATTCCAAGTCTAAAACCGTCTCTAGTGTTTGCCTCTGTTGGGATGTCCTCTAGGGGCATAATCGCCCTGATCCCGGGGGAGGGGGTGGGGGATTAAATTGATAAAGAAAATGAAATATTTTTAAATGATTTCAAAATTGTTTTAAAAAATAGAATGAGATGTTTTTAAATCTTGAGGGACCAGCTCCAAGATCCATGATTGGAAGTTTCGTATTTGTTTAAACCGAATATGTTTTTAAAATAACATTGAGTTGATGAAAATTATGAAATTTAGTCAGTATAACGTACCTGAGTCCACCCAGCTCTGATGGGTACCTGATTCATCTTAGGGAAAGTAAAGGCGGCTGGGCAAATTGCTGACAAGATTATCCCTTCCCATGCCGAGGTCAAGAAACAATAACTCTACTTCAGCTTCCCAATGGATCGCTAGGTCTAAAGAGAATTTTTTACTTTACTATGAGATGCCTTAAATAGTTCAGTAGTGTATAGACCTAATGCTCTTATCACACTATGTACATACAGAATTTAAATTATGGATCGCTAGGTCTAGAGAGGATTCTTTACTTTACTATGAGATGCCTTAAATAGTTCAGTAGGGTATAGACCTAATGCTCTTATCACACTATGTACATACAGAATTTAAATTATGGATCGCTAGGTCTAGAGAGGATTCTTTACTTTACTATAAGATGCCTTAAATAGTTCAGTAGGGTATAGACCTAATGCTCTTATCACACTATGTACATACAGAATTTAAATTATGAAGATTTTCATAGACTTTTATTCTTAAAAAATGAAAAATATAATCTGCGTAGCATTTCTTAACACCTTCCCTACCCCGTCTACAAGTGCACTCAAGCAAGGACATGGACATAGCCTAGTATTTCGACGTATTTACTGTTGAAAGTGGTTCATGTTTTCTAGAGAATATCTGTGTTTTCTTTTTTTTTTTTTTTCTCTCCTCCGAACTCTTGACAATAAAAAAAAATTCGTTTAAAAATCGATTCCTTCCGCCCTACATTTTAACTTAGAAGGCATGCGTTAAATCTATTCCTTCAGCCCTTCAATCTACCTGTTCCTTGATCGCTGCATTCACCTAATCCCCACCCCCACACGATAAGCCCACAATGTACGCAGGGTCGGTAACTCTCCTGTTATTCAGCACGAATTTAGTTCTAATGATGTAACTGCTAGTTACTGACTAGAAATTTTCAGTTTTTAAGTTGCCAACAACAGCCGCTTTTTCATTTAAAAAAACAACAATATTATGTGATTTTACTAGCTTTTCGGAGAACGGCTGTCAGTGGGTTAGGTGAAGTAGAGTCCACCTGTTTCTGTGTTCTCCCCTCAGGAGGGGTTCTTGTGGTCAGCTATTTGCCCAGCTGCCTTAGTTTTTCCTAATGTGATGCAGGTTTTGAACTTTAGACTTTGGGGACAGTAGTCTGGTGATCAAACGCTCGACCTCCCGGTCCCTCTAGCTGGGCTACAGAAGAATTGTTTGATGTGTTTCTTCGGTAGCTTGTCATTTTAGTAAATTGTTTGCTATTTTAAGTTTAGACTGGTCCACACAGTGTATGATTTAGAACTTTTGTTTAGTTTAGTAGCTTTTTTTTTTAAATCTATATTTTGACGCGGTGACCTTATATTTTGTTGTTTCAGGATTGTGGAGATGTTTCACCTTATATTTTTGTTGTTTCAGAATTGTGGAGATGTTTCACCTTATAGTTTGATGTTTCAGGATTGTGGAGATGTTTCACCTTATATTTTTGTTGTTTCAGATTTGGGGAGATGTTTCACCTTATATTTTGATGTTTCAGAATAGTGGAGATGTTTCACCTAATATGTGTTGTTGTTTCAGAATTGTGGAGATGTTTCACCTAATATTTTGTTTCAGAATTGTGGAGATGTTTCACCTTATATTTTTGTTGTTTCAGAATTGTGGCGATGTTTCACCTTATATTTTTGTTGTTTCAGGATTGTGGAGATGTTTCACCTTATATTTTTGTTGTTTCAGAATTGTGGAGATGTTTCACCTTATAGTTTGATGTTTCAGGATTGTGGAGATGTTTCACCTTATATTTTTGTTGTTTCAGATTTGGGGAGATGTTTCACCTTATATTTTGATGTTTCAGAATAGTGGAGATGTTTCACCTAATATGTGTTGTTGTTTCAGAATTGTGGAGATGTTTCACTTAATATTTTGTTTCAGAATTGTGGAGATGTTTCACCTTATATTTTTGTTGTTTCAGAATTGTGGCGATGTTTCACCTTATATTTTTGTTGTTTCAGAATTGTGGAGATGTTTCACCTAATATTTTGTTGTTTCAGAATTGTGGAGATGTTTCACCTTATATTTTTGTTGTTTCAGAATTGTGGAGATGTTTCACCTTATATTTTTGTTGTTTCAGAATTGTGGAGATGTTTCACCTAATATTTTGTTTCAGAATTGTGGAGATGTTTCACCTTATATTTTTGTTGTTTCAGAATTGTGGAGATGTTTCACCTTATATTTTTGTTGTTTCAGAATTGTGGAGATGTTTCACCTTATATTTTGTTGTTACAGAATTGTGGAGATGTTTCACCTTATATTTTTGTTGTTTCAGAATTGTGGAGATGTTTCACCTAATATGTGTTGTTGTTTCAGAATTGTGGAGATGTTTCACCTAATATTTTGTTTCAGAATTGTGGAGATGTTTCACCTTATATTTTTGTTGTTTCAGAATTGTGGAGATGTTTCACCTTATATTTTTGTTGTTTCAGAATTGTGAGATGTTTCACCTAATATGTGTTGTTGTTTCAGAATTGTGGAGATGTTTCACCTAATATTTTGTTTCAGAATTGTGGAGATGTTTCACCTTATATTTTTGTTGTTTCAGAATTGTGGAGATGTTTCACCTTATATTTTTGTTGTTTCAGAATTGTGGAGATGTTTCACCTAATATTTTGTTGTTTCAGAATTGTGGAGATGTTTCACCTTATATTTTTGTTGTTTCAGAATTGTGGAGATGTTTCACCTAATATTTTGTTGTTTCAGAATTGTGGAGATGTTTCACCTTATATTTTTGTTGTTTCAGAATTGTGGAGATGTTTCACCTACCACCTTGTCACCTGAGGTGTCTCCGAGCAATTCGTGTGACGAGGGGGAAGGGGCGAGGTAAGCAATTTTCTTCTCGTTAGTTGCTAACTAGGTCGTTACTGTGGTCAATGGCTAACTAGGTCGTTAATTTTGGACTGTTGCTGGATCGAAACTGTGGTCAGTGGCTAACTAGGTCGTTAATTTTGGACTGATGCTGGATCGATACTGTGGTCAATGGCTAACTAGGTCAATACTGTGGTCAATGACTAACTAGGTCAATAATGTGGTCAATGGCTAACTAGGTCGATACTGTGGTCAATGACTAACTAGGTCAATACTGTGGTCAATGACTAACTAGGTCAATACTGTGGTCAGTGGCTAACTAGGTCGATACTGTGGTCAATGACTAACTAGGTCAATACTGTGGTCAATGACTAACTAGGTCAATACTGTGGTCAATGGGTAACTAGGTCAATACTGTGGTCAATGACTAACTAGGTCGATACTGTGGTCAATGGGTAACTAGGTCAATACTGTGGTCAATGGGTAACTAGGTCAATACTGTGGTCAATGACTAACTAGGTCGATACTGTGGTCAATGACTAACTAGGTCGATACTGTGTTCAGTGGCTAACAAGGTCGATACTGTGACCAGTGGCTAACTGGGTCCATTTTGGTCAATGGCTAACTAGGGCGATACTGTGGTCAGTGGCTAACAAGGTCGACACTGTGACCAGTGGCTAACTGGGTCCATTTTGGTCAATGGCTAACTAGGTCGATACTGTGGTCAATGGCTAACTAGGTCAATACTGTGGTGGCTAACTAGGTCGATACTGTGGTCAATGGCTAACTAGGTCGCCTAGCGGTTATTGGCTGACAGTATAGTTTATTTCGCTACGTTATGGTAAGTGATAACGAACAGAGAAAGGGTATCAAAAGAAACAAATTCATACCTTCGATGTACCCCGCAAACTTATTTAAAAACAACAAGTAGCCTACATTTTTTTTAAAGACAAAAACCAAACAATGAAAAACTAAAGCCGACAATTCCAAAATAAATTCCTTCAGATTTGTTTTCCTCCTGTCGAGTTGATGTTGTCCTGAGCTATTTTGTGGCCCACTCGATGATCCATTTTAGTTGAGTTCATGAAAAAATCAATTTTACAGACTGAATATCAAATTTAGGTTAAGTCCCCTCCCCCCAAACCCATAGTACCCCAGCCTAGGGGTGCAGAGTTTCCGAATGTCGGAAGTCCTCGGCTTAAGATCATTACCACATCTTAGTGGTTCGTTTTAGGATGAAATCCGGCGCTAAAATGGTGAAGATATTTTCTTCTAAGCAGCTTTTCTCACCAGATTTAGTGTGTTAGCCTTCAATATTTTTATCGCATTTTTGTTACCAAACAAAGAACCTAAGCACATACTGTATGTTGGTAGGAGTTACATATAGTTCATATAGTCACGACACATTCTCTATTTTGTGTAGGTCACGTAATAACGTCGATATTTAGATAGAATATAAAAATAATATTTAATAAATTCAAGACCGGCCAACATACAACTTCAACTTAAAATGAAAACAACACATGTCCTTAAAATATCACCCGATTAATATAGCTGCAATCAAAATTTGCCGATATTAAAACTTAGTTCTAATTCCAAAACTCATTATGAAGATTTTTTTAACTTTTATGTTCTTAAACTGAAATCAGAAGTTACAAAAAAGTTCCATAAAAAGTTGTATTGGGGTCAAATCAGATTCTTCTCAATCAAACCTCTCATCGTTTTATTAAACATTACGTCATCACACTCCTCCCACTATGGCTGAGTACTTATCACTTCCGGTTCTTCTTACCCGGAAACAGCCGTAAGGAATATTTGTGGGAGTTGTGACGTCAGCGGCTCAGGATGTCCTCACAGTTCCCAAATATGAATGATGTGGCTAAAGTGTTAGTTCTTAAAATAGTATCTCTCGGTTCAATGACCTGTACATGGAAGTTCTCTTTGTATCTACATTAGTACAGATTTAGGTGGCAATAGATAGACATTAGTACAGATTTACGTGGCAATAGATAGACATTAGTACAGATTTAGGTGGCAATAGATAGACATTAGTACAGATTTACGTGGCAATAGATAGACATTAGTACAGATTTACGTGGCAATAGATAGACATTAGTACAGATTTAGGTGGCAATAGATAGACATTAGTACAGATTTACGTGGCAATAGATAGACATTAGTACAGATTTAGGTGGCAATAGATAGACATTAGTACAGATTTAGGTGGCAATAGATAGACATTAGTACAGATTTAGGTGGCAATAGATAGACATTAGTACAGATTTAGGTGGCAATAGATAGACATTAGTACAGATTTACGTGGCAATAGATAGACATTAGTACAGATTTACGTGGCAATAGATAGACATTAGTACAGATTTACGTGGCAATAGATAGACATTATTCCAGATTTACGTGGCAATAGATAGGCAGATGTTTTTGACAAGTTGTATGATGATAGGCTGTGTGTAGTGATGTTTGGAACAAGCTGTATGTTGATAAGCTGGCTGTAATGATGTTTAGAAAAATTTTCACCTACATATACTGCATTTATCTTTGAAGCACTTCAGGGATTTTGTTACTGATGTCTATTTTAGCAAATCAGTGACCCAACATCAGCACCGTTTAAGCCTTCTGTATTTTTTTTAAATTATTTTAAAATGTTGAGTAGAAAAAAACCATCGGTTGGGTTAGTTAATTTTTTTTTTAAAAACACGACCTTTCATGGCCATGTTTGAAGAGAAATATGTCATAAGGACTATCAAACCTCAGTCAATCAGTCAGTCAGTCATCAGTCAGTCATCAGTCATCAGTCAGTCAGCCAGTCAGTCAGTCACGTTCAAAAAGTTGCCAGATACTCTTTCAGATTCTAAGGCTCTTAGAAAATTGACTTCCGATCAGATCCTCTCTCAGTCTACTTTTACGAAGTTGGTTTGGTGTGTGTGTTTTGGGGTGGGGGGGGGGGGTCAGTAGGTCTGCCCTGGTGTACAGTATGTGTGTGTGTATAGGGGGGGTAGGTCTGCCCTGGTGTACAGTATGTGTCTGTGGGGGGGGGGGTAGGTCTGCCCTGGTGTACAGTATGTGTTTGTGGGGGGGGGGGGGGGTAGGTCTGCCCTGGTGTACAGTATGTGTGTGTGTGGGGGGGTAGGTCTGCCCTGGTGTACAGTGTGGGTAGGTGGGGTGGGGAAGGTCAAGAATTTCTGTCTTGAGGTGTATGGAGTGCGGGAAGGGGAGATGAGATGTTTTGTGTTGTGTATGTGTGTGTGTGGGGGGGGGGGGGGTAGTTGTTCGTCCATTCTGGCGTTTATAACGTGGGCTGTTGTGTGGGGTAGTGGAGGTCAGGGTAAAGTTTCCTGTGTCTTTAACAACTCTTTTGTGTATGGGTAGAATTCTCTTCACACAATTAAATTCGTTCAGGCTAAATTATGACGAGTTTTGGGGCTAAATTATAACACGTTATGAGGCTAAATCTTATGTTTTAGTGTTTAATAAAATCTAAGTTATACAAACATGAAAACAACTTTTTCCTCGTAGGAAACACAAAGCACGGTACCTGCGTACATTAGGTAGATGCTGGGTGAACAAAATGACCGTTGTCACAACGTTATGGCGCACCTTAAAGATGTTTCTAGATCGATGACACCTGCCATTAGTCCACTTACGGCACGGGTCGCTCAGTGCCAGAAATCCCTCATTAGCCGCAGAGATGTGAACTGATGTTTGAACTATTGCAGGAGCTTGCACTCTGTAGTTACAGCAGCTCTTTGACAGTCAGTCAGTTCAGATGGTAGAAGTCCCATAACTTTGACATTCAGTCACTCCTGCTGTTATTTGACGGCTTTTTATTTTATTTTAACAGAAGGCTTAGAGTGTTCACTTATGATTCTGAAACGTGTTATGATAAACATAGAACAAAGAACACGGAACGATGAACATGAATAATAGAACATCATTGTATTTTGAACACGAAACATTGAACAAATAATTTTGTACTAGCCTATGATAATAAGAGTGTGATTAATAGTATAAAAGAGTAGTTGATACAGCAACACAGCTCGTCAATGGGTCAACATAACTTGATTTTTCCCTATTTTAGCCGATAGTGTTCAATTATAAACTATGAAAAGCGAGAATAATTACTAAAGATTTCTGGTATTTTCTTAATTAGAAATCAGATGAGCATTTTTATTTCTTTTTAAAAATATGTCGTTAGAAATGCTTTTTCCATTCCTACTTGATTTACACAAACCGTGTCTATTTTTAGTAACATCGCAGAGCGCCTGCGCAGACGCCGGAGTTCCGTGGACCTTGCCATGAACATCTACCCCGGGGATCTCCTGGTACAGGAGCATCACAAGAAGCTCATCAAGCGGAACACGATAGCAGACTTTTACGCCGCGGGTCGGCAGCCTAACGGGGTGCCACTACCCCCAGGCGCACAGCCCGGGGGTGACACCACAGACGTGGCCAAAAAAGGAAGGCAGCCATTTTCTCTTCTCAAACTGGTGGGTAGTTACGGTCATTTACCCCCTGGTGGGTAGTTACGGTCATTGACCCCCTGGTGGGTAGTTACGGTCATTGACCCCCTGGTGGGTAGTTACGGTCATTTACCCCCTGGTGGGTAGTTATGGTCATTTACCACCATTCTCCTCAAACTGGTGGGTAGTTACTGTCATTTACCACCATTCTCCTCAAACTAGTGGGTAGTTACGGTCATTGACCCCCTGGTGGGTAGTTACGGTCATTGACCCCCTGGTGGGTAGTTACGGTCATTTACCCCCTGGTGGGTAGTTACGGTCATTTACCCCCTGGTGGGTAGTTACGGTCATTTACCCCCTGGTGTGTATTTACGGTCATTTACCCCCATTCTCCTCAACACTAAATTCGTTTGTCTTCTTACCAGCTATATATGAAAGTAAGGTTAGCCATACGTCAGCTTTAGTTTCGTGATAACTTTTATTCTCCTGTTTAACTTTAGGTTCCTCGCAGCAGTTGTAGTTCCCGAATACAAAGTCGTTTCGATAGAGTGAATTTGTCCATACACCAAAATATGTAGGGAATAATTCCTCATTAGTCTCCAGATGTATACATTTTTCGTCAAGCCTAATTATTCTATTTATAGATGAAAACAAGCAGTAAAGAATCTCTGACCTAATTATTCTATTTATAGATGAAAACGCGCAGCAAAGAATCTCTAACCAAGCTGGATGAGATCCTGAAACGTCTGAAACCCTCAGAGTTCAAGGACAACCATCTCGCAGCATATAAGGTATGCTAAACTTGATTATGCTTCATAAATACCTTGATTTAGTTGTAATAAGTTGGCAGATAAGGTAAGCTAAAGTTTGATCAAGCTACAGCTATTCCTTGATTTAGCAGCAATAAATTTGAAGATAAAGTAAGCAAAATTCTGATCTAGATACTGTTTTAGTTTTTATTCAAATTTTTCTTTCGGAGAAAGCATATGATGAAAACGGATTTAGAGTCAGTTATGCCTTAATTTACCAGCACTAATTGTTTAAAGAAAGTGTGTTATTAGTTGTTAGCACAGTGTTGTATCAAATGGCGATTTCTTTTAAAATGTTGCAACCTGTACTTTAAACAATATACTCCGGGGATTCCACACTTAACTGTCTGTGTTGTTAATCGCCGCCACAGTTAAAAAAACAAATACCACTTCACCTTAAGGATTCACTTCAGAAAAAAATGTTTTAAAAACATGTTTGTTTCTCTCTCCTACCACCAGCCGTTGAATATAAACTAATTGGGTTTACTCAAAGAGAAAAAGAAAAAAAAACCTAGTTTATCACACGAGTTGTTCCCCCTGGCCAATCAATATCGGCTCACTTGGGCGCTGAGTGCCCATGACCAACGGCTGCCCAGCATCCAGCGACCAGTTGACCCGATGTACTCACTACGGTGTGCTGGATGGTTGAAGAAATGGTGACAGGGTCTAGATCAGATAAGACGTGGCTCGGGTAATTGAGATGGATGGGCTCCAAGGGTCTCACTTTGAATACCAAAAGTCTCACTTTAGTACCGAGCTTACTACGACTCTAGTAATTGAGACGGATGGACTCCAGAGGTCTCACTATGAACCTCAGATATCCCACTTGAGTACCGAGCTTACTACGACTCTAGTCATTGAGATTAATGGGTTTCACAGGTCTCACTGATAATCGCAGAAGTCTCACTTTAGTACCGAGCTCAGACTCATGTAATTGAGATGAATGGGTAGGCATATCGCCCCCACACACCCGGGTATATCGCCCCCTCACATCCGGCTATATCACCCCCACACACTCTGCTATATCGCCCCCCCCTCCCCACACACACAACCTGAGAATATTCCAGTACAATCGTGTGCGAGGCACCTCGAGTAAACAAAACTCTTCTGAGAAAGCAAGAAAATAAATTGTGACAGTCTCCTTGAGGCTACACATTAAATATGACAGGTAGCCAGGTAGCCGCTGATGGAATGTGACTGGGAACCAGGCGTGGAATGCTGCCAAGTCTAAAGAATTACGTCAGTTTTTGGTCCGCTTGTGCCTTTTCTAACGCGTGCATATGAAGCAACACCAGCTAAAACTCACTGGAATAAACAGTTTTAAAGATTCATGTCGTCTTTACAAAATCGTTTACAACATGAGGACTTATATATGAAGCTTGTATTTGCCGTGTTTTACACCAACAAATGTTCAACACATTCGCACTGCTTTTGTTTTTAAGCTTTCACTCCACATTTATGACCGTTTATTCAGGTACTTTTCGATAATTATAAGCAAGTTCCAACCACGAAAAGCATTTAATAGCTTTGTGATTTTTATTTCTCTAACCGTAATTTACTTTTTAATTAACGATGCTTATATCCTGATTTATTTAATTAAACTAATTAGTAATCTCTTCTCCAAAACAACTTAAGTTCCACCACAGTTTGTTGAGATAGTCATTGACAGTTTGGTCTACAGTTTGTAGATTTTGAATTTCCTAAGAAAAATTGACCACATTTTTGTAATGGAAAGTTAAAGCACAAGATGGAAGGTTGAAGCAAGTGATCGAAATTTGGAGAATGTGATAAAAAATGGTCACGTGAACGAATTTTGGAGCAATTGATCGCAAGCTGGAGCAAATGATCCAAAACTCGAGCTATTGATCGAAAGTTGGAGCAAATGATCCAAAACTCGAGCTATTGATCGAAAGTTGGAGCCAATGATCCAAAACTCGAGCTATTGATCGAAAGTTTGAGCCAATGATCCAAAACTCGAGCTATTGATCGAAAGTTGGAGCCAATGATCCAAAACTCGAGCTATTGATCGCAAGCTGGAGCAAATGATCCAAAACTCGAGCTATTGATCAAAAGTTGGAGAAATGATCCAAAACTCGAGCTATTGATCGAAAGTTGGAGCCAATGATCCAAAACTCGAGCTATTGATCGAAAGTTTGAGCCAATGATCCAAAACTCGAGCTATTGATCGAAAGCTGGAGCCAATGATCCAAAACTCGAGCTATTGATCGCAAGCTGGAGCAAATGATCCAAAACTCGAGCTATTGATCAAAAGTTGGAGAAATGATCCAAAACTCGAGCTATTGATCGCAAGCTGGAGCAAATGATCCAAAACTCGAGCTATTGATCGAAAGCTGGAGCAAATGATCCAAAACTCGAGCTATTGATCGAAAGTTGGAACAAATGATCCAAAACTCGAGCTATTGATCGAAAATTGGAGCAAATGATCCAAAACTCGAGCTATTGATCGAAAGATGTGCGCCAGATCAAAAGTTGGAGCGCATGATATCATGAATCTTTCTGACACACAATCCCTGATTATAACTAGATCACAAAAATTCACAAACTCTACTTCATCTACCCGAACAAGGTACACACCATATATGTGAATCTTTCAGCTTAAAGTGCTTTTTGTCAGAAAATATTCCTTTATCTGTTGTTTCATTGGTTTAGGTGTAAATATAGTGAGTACTGCTAGACTTCTCTATTGTTTTAATGACTCTAGGTTGTTAGGTGTAAATATAATAAGTAGCTTGAGTTCCCTAACGTGACACTTTGAATGAAGCCTTGGACCATTTGGTTGAGCTAATTTGACGAAAGATTACTAGCATTGGCTTCCTGCGATCTAGTTTTTCATCGTGTTGTCGTTCGCAATGAAAGGCGCCTCAAGTTGAAAGACATTTCTTGACAGCCGATAAAAGGAGAAGATTAATAGGATTAGAGATTTTTCTGGGGACAAAAATGAATTTAAAAAAAAAAAAGCCAAATTTAGATATTCGTTTAACGTTATATTTTTGTATAAAAAATAAAAGTTGACACATAGCAAGCTAAAGTGAAAATTGTCGAAATTTTTTTGACGCACTTTTTACGGTGTTCTTCTGATGTGGCTTAATTAACTAATTAATGTACTTGTGTACTTATGTTAAATGGTACTAGCTGTGTTATGAATGTGTGTGATGTATGTGATGATATATGTGAGTGATATATGCCAGATATATTGGGTAGTTGCATCAAACTGTATCACATTATATATATATATATATATATATATATATGTATATATATATATATATATATATATATATATATATATATGTATATGTATGTATGTATGTATATAAATATATATATGTATATATATATATATATATATATATATATATATATATATATATATATATATATATATATATATATATATATATATATATATATATCCTTCTACAGAAAATATTGAAATGCAATGTGTTAAAGTTCGAACAATTGTACACTCATCTCTATGAAAATTAATGAATAAAAATAGCTTTTAATTGCATAAATAAACTGTCTCATATACTAACTCAATGGGAATAAAAGTCAGATAAGTATGAAACAAGATGCTTTACATCTCCACACGTCAACAAGTATTGAGCGACCTTGACCTAATTAATAACGTCACACAAAATCGATTGACCTTCACATATTTCCATCACGGCGTGGAATATCGAGTGACCTTGACCAAATTCCGTGACTCACTAAATATTGAGTGACCTTGGCCTTATTCCAACATGTCACTAAATATTGAGTGGCATTGACCTATTTACATCATGTCACCAAATATCGCGTGACGTTGGTCTATTTCCAACACGTCGCGAACTATCGAATGACCTTGACCTACCTCTACCCTACGATATATCCTGGTTGTCAAAAGCTTTTGAATATTTGATGCTGGTGGTCACTTTCTCACACTAGGGGTAAAAGCTTAGACCATCCTTGTGTAGTAACATTACATAGCCTCGAAACTTGCATTAACATTAGATATCCTCTAAACTCGCAGTAACATGATTTACGTTAGCTGTGTAAAATAATTTTATAAAACAGAAGTCTGTGTTCTCTGGTTATTTAATTAGTGGCTTTTTCTTTCTAAATTTAAAACATTTTTAAAACTTACATTTACTAGAAAATTTTTCCCATGACCAGAAATCAAGTAAAAATTATTTTTTAAATATTTCATTTTTTCTGAATCCCAAATTTAGGCGAATGTTGAGAATGTAAACACGCAGATTTTGGTGAATGTCTTGTCATAACAAAGCAATCGTCTTATTATTTACTAGACTAAACCTTTCTTGAGATTATAACTAAATCTATGGGATAAAACCTTACCAAGACAACAGCTAAATCATAAAGCTAACCTTCCCAAGACAATAGCTAAATCAACGAGCTAAAAACCTTCCCAAGGCTATAGCTAAATCTTGGGCTAATACATTTCTTGAGACAATAGCTAAATGAAAGGGCTAAAACCTTCCCAGGACAATAGCTAAATCAATGGGCTAAAACCTTCCCAAGACAACAGCTAAATCGATGGGCTAAAACCTTCCCAAGACAATAGCTAAATCAAAGGGCTAAAACCTTCCCAAGACAATAGCTAAATCAATGGGCTAAAACCTTCCCAAGACAATAGCTAAATCAATGCGCTATTCCAACAAGCGAATCAATCGGTGCCGATCTAATTATGTCCTTATCCAATCCTTTTGGCTCGCACTTTAACTTGGGCAACGAAAAAATTGAATTAACACTGAAGGGCCCCTCAACATCCCAAAAAATCTCAGCCGTTTCTTCTTGGCGACAGTTTATCTTCATATCAGCCGGGCGGTGGAGGTTATTGGAAGGGGAGGGAAATCGAATTAGCGGTGCGGGTTTTCGATCATATAGGACAAATTAGTGGCAAATTAATTAGACGTTTTGTCACGGGGATATATTAAAAACTCCAGACAAGAAGTTATTAGTGTTTTAGTTGTAGGGTTCTGGCTATTTTTAGAATCTGTTTAACCGGTGGATTATATGTTGGTTGGTTGAAATACTTATCTTTCTCTCATAAAGATAGGTTGTTGGATTTAAAATGTGCAGATGTATTCAACATTTCTGTAAACTCGTACACAATTAAAGTACTGGAAAACAATTACAGTAATGTTGCTACAGTAGTAGTGTTACAGTAACAACGTAACAACACTGGTACAAATTATGAGTACACAGTACAGCGTATACATATCTTGCGTAGAAATAAAACGTTCAAGATATAAGCTTTTTTTTGTTAACGATTGTTTGGGTAATAATAATATAAATATTTTCTGCGTCTGTTTACAACTTACAACAGTTAACGGGATTATAGATATACGACAGTTAACGTGACCATGGGTATACAACTGTTAACATGATTATAGATATACAACTGTTAACACGACCATCCATATGTATACAACTGTTAACATGATTATAGATATACAGCAGTTAACGTGACCATAGGTATACAACAAATAACTTGACCATAGGTATACAACAAATAACGTGACCATAGATATACAACAAATAACGTGACCATAGGTATACAACAAATAACTTGACCATAGGTATACAACAAATAACTTGACCATAGGTATACAACAAATAACGTGACCATAGGTATACAACAAATAACTTGACCAGAGGTATACAACAAATAACTTGACCATAGGTATACAACAGCCGTAATCAACGGTATACCTGCTTGTTCACGGTTTATTTCGCCTCTCTATCTCTCTCTCTGTATCTATCTATTTATCCATCTATCCCCCTCCCCCATACCCATAACTAGCCAACAATTTACCTACGAATGATTAAACACAATAACAGAAGAACAAATCAGACACCTGCTTGACGCTAGAATCCCGACATACCTCAAGTAATGTCTGTGGTCGTGTTTGAAATATTTGGTCGACATATTTCTTTAAAACTTAACGTTGCTTTTTGTGCGGACGTCCAGAAGAATTTGAACATTCTTGAATTGTTGTTGTAACGTATTAGTTTACACAAGTTTTACTCAATTGAATGCGTTGATTACGAGAATTAAGTTACCAAACAACAGAAGTTTGGTTATGTAATTGTTTTTTTTTTTTACTGAGTTTCGGATTAGAAATGCTGGGTTTAAATTCTGTGAAGATCGTTTGTTAAAATAAAAATTTTCGATTTCTGTGTAGTCTCTGAAATTTCCCCGCACTAAATCTATATCCACTACGGTGCTTTCAAAAATAATATATTTAATACCTTGTAAATGCTTCCTTTGTTGAGCTGTTTTGTTTAGTTTCAAAATGATACTACTGATACTCATCTCAGTAGTATAAATGATTTGAATGTTAGCCCTTTGAGAGTCAGTAGCATAAACTGATGATTTGAAATTTTGGCCAAATTTTAGCATAGACTGATGATTTGAATGATTTGCCCTTTGAGCCAGTACCATAGACTGATGATTTGAATGTTTTGCCCTTTGAGCTAGTAGCATAGACTGATGATTTGAATGTTTTGCCCTTTGAACCAGTAGCATAAAATGATGATTTGAATGTTTTGCCCTTTGAGCTAGTACCATAGACTGATGATTTGAATGTTTGCCCTATTGAGCCAGTAGCCTAGACTAATGATTTGAATGTTTGCCCTATTGAACCAGTACCATAGACTAATGATTTGAATGTTAGCCCTTTGAGCCAGTAGCCTAGACTAATGATTTGAATGTTTGCCCTTTGAGCCAGTACCATAGACTAATGATTTGATTGTTTGCCCTATTGAACCAGTACCATAGACTGATGCTTTGAATGTTAGCCCTTTGAGTCAGTACCATAGACTGATGATTTGAATGTTTGCCCTTTAATCCCTGCACTGGTCAGTACCATAGACTAATGCTTTGAATGTTTTGCCCTTTGAGCCAGTAGCCTAGACTGATGCTTTGAATGTTAGCCCTTTGAGCCAGTAGCCTAGACTGATGCTTTGAATGTTAGCCCTTTGAGCCAGTAGCCTAGACTGATGATTTGAATGTTTGCCCTTTGAGCCAGTAGCCTAGACTGATGCTTTGAATGTTAGCCCTTTGAGCCAGTAGCCTAGACTGATGATTTGAATGTTTGCCCTTTGAGCCAGTAGCCTAGACTGATGCTTTGAATGTTAGCCCTTTGAGCCAGTAGCCTAGACTGATGATTTGAATGTTAGCCCTTTGAGCCAGTAGCCTAGCCTAATGATTTGAATGTTTGCCCTATTGAGCCAGTAGCCTAGACTAATGATTTGAATGTTTGCCCTATTGAGCCAGTAGCCTAGACTAATGATTTGAATGTTTGCCCTATTGAGCCAGTACCATAGACTGATGATTTGAATGTTTGCCCTATTGAGCCAGTAGCCTAGACTAATGATTTGAATGTTTGCCCTATTGAGCCAGTACCATAGACTGATGATTTGAATGTTTGCCCTATTGAGCCAGTAGCCTAGACTAATGATTTGAATGTTTGCCCTATTGAGCCAGTAGCCTAGACTGATGATTTGAATGTTTTCCCTATTGAGCCAGTACCATAGACTAATGATTTGAATGTTTGCCCTATTGAGCCAGTACCATAGACTGATGATTTGAATGTTTTCCCTATTGAGCCAGTACCATAGACTAATGATTTGAATGTTAGCCCTTTGAGCCAGTAGCCTAGACTGATGATTTGAATGTTAGCCCTTTGAGCCAGTAGCCTAGACTAATGATTTGAATATTTGCCCTATTGAGCCAGTAGCCTAGACTAATGATTTGAATGTTTGCCCTATTGAGCCAGTAGCCTAGCCTAATGATTTGAATGTTTGCCCTATTGAGCCAGTACCATAGACTAATGATTTGAATGTTTGCCCTATTGAGCCAGTACCATAGACTGATGATTTGAATGTTTTCCCTATTGAGCCAGTACCATAGACTAAGGATTTGAATGTTTGCCCTATTGAGCCAGTACCATAGACTGATGATTTGAATGTTTTCCCTATTGAGCCAGTACCATAGACTAATGATTTGAATGTTAGCCCTTTGAGCCAGTAGCCTAGACTGATGATTTGAATGTTAGCCCTTTGAGACAGTAGCCTAGACTAATGATTTGAATATTTGCCCTATTGAGCCAGTACCATAGACTAATGATTTGAATGTTAGCCCTTTGAGCCAGTAGCCTAGACTAATGATTTGAATGTTTGCCCTATTGAGCCAGTACCATAGACTGATGATTTGAATGTTTGCCCTCTAGTCCCTGCACTGGTCAGTAGCCTAGCCTAATGATTTGAATGTTTGCCCTATTGAGCCAGTACCATAGACTGATGATTTGAATGTTTGCCCTCTAGTCCCTGCACTGGTCAGTAGCCTAGCCTAATGATTTGAATGTTTGCCCTATTAAGCCAGTACCATAGACTAATGATTTGAATGTTTGCCCTCTGAGCCTAATGATTTGAATGTTTTCCCTCTAGTCCCTGCACTGGTCAGACCTGATCGCCAGCACAGACAAGCAACAGAACAGTCAGCTGACCAGCATCACTGACACGGAGAGGAAGAGGAGGGAGGCGGTCTGGGAGCTCTTCAAGTCCGAGTGTGTCTTCCTCATTGACCACTTGATGGTTCTCAAACATGTAGGTACTTGGTGCCAGTCTGCCACTGTGTCTTTGTTTCATTGTGGCAGTGTCATTATGTCATCGTCGTTGTTGTGGTATCATTGTGGCAGTACCATTATGTCAGTGTCATTGTTGCAGTATCATTGTGGCAGTGTCATAGTGGCAGTGTCATAGTGGCAATGTCATTGTGGCAGTGTGCGATTGTGTCTTTTGGTTATTGTGTCATTTTGTTATTGTTCAGTGTCATTGTGGCAGTGTCGTTGTGCAAATGTCATTGTCTCAGCGTCATAGATCCATTGTGATGTAAATGTGTCTGTATATCCCTGTCAGTATTTGAAACGTGTTGTTGTTTATGGCATATTAATCATTAGGAAGACACATGCAGTTCTATTTCCCTGATTTAAAAAATACGGGTTGCCTAAACGGTGTTTTAAGGTTTACAGACTAGAATCTGTAGCCAGAGGTTGGAGGTTTAAGTTGTGGCCCTGATGTGGAACAGAAGGGAGGGGGGGGGGGGGGGGTTGGAAGTGTGGTACAAGGGGGGGGGGGGGGGGGTTGGAAGTATGGTAAAGAGAGGGGCGGTCGGTTGATGGTGGAAGCTCCAGGCAGGGAGGTTAGAGCTGTGTTTCTGACTGGGGGAGGTTAGAGATGTGTTCCTGTGTGGGGTAGGGAGGTTAGAGGTGTGGTCCTGTGTGGGGGAGGAGGTTAGAAGTGTGGTCCTGTGTGGGGGAGGAGGTTAGAGGTGTGGTCCTGTGTGGGGTAGGGAGGTTAGAGGTGTGGGCCTGTGTGGGGGAGGAGGTTAGAGGTGTGGTCCTGTGTGGGGGAGGAGGTTAGAGGTGTGGTCCTGTGTGGGGTAGGGAGGTTAGAGGTGTGGTCCTGTGTGGGGTAGGGAGGTTAGAGGTGTGGTCCTGTGTGGGGTAGGGAGGTTAGAGGTGTGGTCCTGTGTGGGGGAGGAGGTTAGAGGTGTGGCCCTGTGTGGGGTAGGGAGGTTAGAGGTGTGGCCCTGTGTGGGGTAGGGAGGTTAGAGGTGTGGTCCTGTGTGGGGTAGGGAGGTTAGAGGTGTGGTCCTGTGTGGGGGAGGAGGTTAGAGGTGTGGTCCTGTGTGGGGTAGGGAGGTTAGAGGTGTGGCCCTGTGTGGGGGAGGAGGTTAGAGGTGTGGCCCTGTGTGGGGTAGGGAGGTTAGAGGTGTGGTCCTGTGTGGGGGAGGAGGTTAGAGGTGTGGTCCTGTGTGGGGGAGGAGGTTAGAGGTGTGGTCCTGTGTGGGGGAGGAGGTTAGAGGTGTGGCCCTGTGTGGCGTAGGGAGGTTAGAGGTGTGGTCCTGTGTGGGGGAGGAGGTTAGAGGTGTGGCCCTGTGTGGGGTAGGGAGGTTAGAGGTGTGGTCCTGTGTGGGGGAGGAGGTTAGAGGTGTGGTCCTGTGTGGGGGAGGAGGTTAGAAGTGTGGTCCTGTGTGGGGGAGGAGGTTAGAGGTGTGGTCCTGTGTGGGGGAGGAAGTTAGAGGTGTGGTCCTGTGTGGGGTAGGGAGGTTAGAGGTGTGGTCATGTGTGGGGGAGGAGGTTAGAGGTGTGGTCCTGTGTGGGGGAGGAGGTTAGAGGTGTGGTCCTGTGTGGGGTAGGGAGGTTAGAGGTGTGGTCCTGTGTGGGGGTGGAGGTTAGAGGTGTGGTCCTGTGTGGGGGGGGAGGTTAGAGGTGTGGTCCTGTGTGGGGTAGGGAGGTTAGAGGTGTGGTCCTGTGTGGGGGAGGAGGTTAGAGGTGTGGTCCTGTGTGGGGGAGGAGGTTAGAGGTGTGGTCCTGTGTGGGGGAGGAGGTTAGAGGTGTGGTCCTGTGTGGGGGAGGAGGTTAGAGGTGTGGTCCTGTGTGGGGTAGGGAGGTTAGAGGTGTGGTCCTGTGTGGGGGAGGAGGTTGAAAACAAGCCCATGAGAGTGTAGCGTGGAAGACGTGCCCCATACATTTCTGAACACGCTAGAAGCTGATCAACAAATTGGCTTCATTGTCCTCTTGTGTCAGCTGTAAATAGACCGCCCTTTGATTGTTTGTGTCGTGGTTTGTGGGAATAAATCATGCGCTAGTCGATGTTTATTGATTCCTATACTTTAAGGAACTGAAATGTTTTGCTCTTCAGGTGATTCTTTGCTTATAAAACAAGGAAAACGTATCGATGTGCTTAAACTCAAGCAATGCCTTAGCCATACTGCTGCACTCTTTCTATTTTAGATGTGTACAATAAAACCAAATAAATGAAAAAAATATGTATTTTATAGAGAGATCTATTACTTAGACAATGTATTTAACTATCTTTGAACCCCCAGTGTTTCATCTAACCTTCACCTTTGAACCCCAGTGTGTCATGTACATAACCTTCACCTTTGAACACCCAGTGTGTCATTTCTATAACCTTCACCTTTGAAACTCTAGTGTTTCATGTCTATAACCTTGACCTTTGAACCCTCAGTGTTTCTTGTAACCTTGACGTTAGAACCCCAGGTTGTCATGTCTATAACCTTGACCTTTGAACCCCCAGTGTTTCATGTAACCTTGACCTTTGAACCCCCAGTGATGTATATAACCTTGACCTTTGAACCCCCAGTGTTTCATGGAGCCCCTCAAGAAGGTTCAGGTAGAGGGGAGCCTCATGTTCGCAGAGCCACAAGATCTCTTTGGTAACTTGGACGAGCTTTCCTATGTGAGTCATTTTGTTTGTATTTCATATGGGGATAATGTGTGTATGTCTGTAGTGTGTGGGCAAAGTTTTTTGTTTGTATTTCATATGGGGATAATGTGTGTCTGTCTGTAGTGTGTGGATAATGTATGTCTGTCTGTAGTGTGTGGATAATGTATGTCTGTCTGTAGTGTGTGGATAATGTGTGTCTGCAGTATGAGGACAGTATGTTCTCTATAGGGCAAAGGTTTTGTCTACAGAAATTTGTCATATCATCTATATACTAGTGCAAGACATCACGTTAAACAATTTCATTTTTTTTAAAGCGCCCAACATAAATTTATTCTTTTAAAAAAGATTTTCTCATCAATTTCAAGTTCTTGATTCGTTTAAATATTAAGTAGCATATACCTCTGAACACAATAAATCACTTTGTAAAGTATCCTCTTGGGCAAAGTAGGCCTACACATACACGATGCGTGTTCTAGAAATATAATATTGGAAGTAAGTTTTGATAGATTTATATTTCTGTCTTTGTGGAAGTTAGTATTGGTGGCAAGGGAAAGATGGGGGGGGGGGGGGAATGGATGGAGAATCGAAAAACTCGTATGAACCAAGAGAAAGTGGGGGGGGGGGGGTGTTCAAATATTTTAATTTGACGGTGGACATCATAAATGAATGACCACTATTCAAGATAGTAAGTAATTTTTTTTTAATTATATTATTTAAAAAAATTAAAATCCCCACAACTGGTGCTTGTAGCCTCGTGTGTACCGACCCACGGATACCAGTCCTGTGTTTTCCGGACCGGAATTAGTTCCGTGTATTCGAGAGCTGTATGCCAGTAGCTTGTCTACTGTCTAGACAGTGGGCCGGTGTGACGGTAATAGAATGGAGCAACAGTTCCTGTCGCAAGACGCAATTTTGGTGCGCAACGGTGTCGCTCAGTGCAGCCCAACGTTTGCTGATCTGATCCAAGTTGTCATCGAAACGGCTGTTATCTTGTATCAGTTGCGCTCGTCCTTCTTTGCTTTGTTCAGCTGAGCAAATATTTTATGTCAAATTGGACAGAAGGGGAGAGGATGGGGGGACTAAGGGGTGGGTGTTAAATCCCACAAGGAGATTCTCATCTTACGTTAGTTTTCGAAGCTTTTAAATTAAGTCGAATACCACTTTTATTTTTCTGTTGTGTTTTTTTTTTTACGCATGTTATTTTTTACAGTGGATTTTGAAATATAGCATATGACCAAAATATTTGTAGTAGATTTATTTAGTTCAAATTTGCCAAAAGAGACATTTGTTAAATAGGTTAAAGTTAATTAGAATAGTCTCCCCTTTTGGTAATTCACCTTTTCAGTTTTCTAGTTTTGGTAAGAGTGCAGTTTAAATATGGGAGGTAACAAACTGCTAAAAGTTGCATTCCTTATCTCGGTATTTGTTTAAACACAAACGCGAAATTAAAGATCTAATGAAAGTGTAAGAGGTTGAGTAGGTTTAACATTTACCTTTTCGCGTCTGCAGGTAAGTTACACCTTCTGCAAAGATTTTATTGCCGCCCTACTGAAAGATATGAGCATCACCGACTTTGGTCGAACAAATGTATTGTTGAAAGCGTTTCAGAGGGTAAGTCAAGCTGCACTCTCTTCAGTCTACTTATTCAATTCTAAACATCATGTAAGATCTTCATTAAGATTTATGTTATATTCTAATAACAGTGTGATACTTTCCTTTTAAACTTGTAGAATTAATGTTTTGAAAATGTTCAAACAATAAATTGATAAAACAGGGAAATAATAGTTTTTGGAGCATTTGCAGTTTGTATTTTTTTAAGTAGGCAGATTTGAAAACTTAGTTACTGTTTTGTTTTTTCTATCAGATGTAGCACAGAAAAATGTTCTTTTGTTTCGTATCCAATCTAATGTAGAGTTCAACTTTTGTTTTGTATCTAATCTGATGGAGAGTTCAACTTTTGTTTCGTATCTAATCTGATGTAGACTACAACTTTTGTTTCGTATCTAATGTGATGTGGAGTACAACTTTTGTTTCTTATCTAATCTGATGTAGACTACAACTTTTGTTTCGTATCTAATGTGATGTGGAGTACAACTTTTGTTTCTTATCTAATCTGATGTAGACTACAACTTTTGTTTCGTATCTAATCTGATGTAAAGTACAACTTTTGTTTTTTATTTCCTGGACCAGTTCTCTGCTCATTCCCGAGATGGCGCCGTCTACCATTCCTACTGCCTCAACTACGCCAACGCTCTTTCTTACCTGGAGAAGCTGCGGGCCAACTCAGAGTTCGCCGAGTTTGAGAAAGTAAGTTTTGTTGGTGTATGTGTTATATGAGTTGGCTGAGTTTGAGAAAGTAAGTTTTGTTAGTGTATGTGTTATGAGGGAGTCGTCTGAGTTATAGTCTAGATAGTAAGTTTCGTTGGTGCTGAGTTTAAGAAAGTAAGTTTTGTTGGTGTATGTGGCCCACCATTGTCCAACAAAACCACTAAAACGTAATCTTATCTTAAACAAGTAATTTAAAAAAGTCTAGTGACAATTTTAGCGCAATTTCCTTGTGTTATCTAAAAATAGCTCTGTCGTAGCGTAAATCAAGAGCAGGGTTAGTAAAACCATTGGTTAGTTATTAAAACGTTTTTTATTAATTTTTTTTCAGTATTTTACATGTTTTATTTACAATAGAGTAACATGACTAAAAACCATTGCGCGCCCAGCTACCGAACGTGACGTCGCAGCCATTGAACGTGATGGCGCAGCTATTGAACGTGATGACGCGTGTTGTGTGGTTGCATAAAATGCCTACTAATTCGGTCCAAATTTTAATTAATTCAAAAAAAATTTTGTGACCGAACGAAAGGATATTTTTGAAAACTTTCTTCGGCAATATTGTTCTAAATTATGGCAGGAATCGATTGGTACATGTTTCAAGTCGCTAAGTGGTCTGGTTGCCGAGATATGGGCCAAAAACTGCATTTTGTCGAGGTTTTTTGGCTTTTCCGGGAAATACATGAAAGAAACCCGGAATTTTTATGGCCTATGTTCATCCTCGTAACTTGCTTAACATAATTGCTTTTGGAACTAGTCATCGATATTGCTTCGTTGAGGAGGAGATACGACTTAAAGCTGCGGACACACATCCATCCATCCATCCATCCATTCATTCATACATCCAGAAATGACGGGTTAATAAATGCAATTCTCCAGAATGGAAATTGCGCTAAAAAGGTGCACATTACCAACTGTTTTTTTTTCTTGAAAAACGACTTACAATATTGTAATATTTGAGAATAAAAATTTTAATTAGTATACATATTTTTATAAAAGCAAACATTTAAATAAACATACGTGCTCTTTATCAGTTATAGTGAAATAAAAGCGTATTTTTTCCTACCATAGTTATAGAACATTTCTGTTAAAACTTTACATAAAGGTACATAACCATGTAATTTTATTTTACTAAAAGTATTAATCGAGTTATTTCCCTTTCAATGAAAATACTTTGCTCCAAACGCTGCAAAATATTTAATGCTAAAAAGGTTAAATTTTACTGACGATTTCAACAAATATATTTATTAAATGTAAAGTCATTTTTAATTATCATTTTAAAAACGCTTTTTTAAAAAAAGTCAATAGTGAAACGTTTTACTTTTTCAACTCGCCTTGTCGCACGCACATCGTAACCACAATCCAGGTTCTTACTACCCTGTCCATCTAGAGTGTGACGTTATTTATGCACTACCCCTTCTTTTCAAGCTTAGGTGCTTGTAATGACAATTCAGTTATCCTAATGCACGCCTGACAGCGATCTCTTAAAATACACGGCTAAGTAAAGTTGTGTTGTTTCGGTTAAAAGTAGCCTACCTTTTTATATATTTTTGATCCAAGGGAAATAACTTGATTTTATTTCAAATTTTAAAAGTACACTCGGTTACCTCCCGTTGTTACGTCTACCATTTCTTTCTCCCCCTGTAAAAATTATTTTGATTGTGTTGTTTAGTGGTGTGAGCAAGATGCAAGATGTAACCGGCTGCAGTTGACGGATCTGTTGGTAGCTCCCATGCAGCATTGTACGAAACTACCACTGCTACTCCATAACGTTCGCAAGTACACGGCAGACGAGGACGAGAGACAGCAGGTGGCAGAGAGCATAGAAAAAATGGAAGCCTCCCTAAGTAGGTCACGTTTTGTTTTTATATTGTTCATTTGTTGATTCAGTGCAATTAATCTGATATTTGTTTTTGTTACTAAGTGTGGGTTTTTTATCTTCTAGATATAGATCTAAATGCTACATTAAATTAGAAAAAAAAAAGCTTTATTTATATTCTGATACGAATTTTAAAATTTGATTTCTAGAACAACTGGAGGAAAAAATGAAGTGGATAAAAAATTTTGAGAGAGTTCAGGAGATTCAGAGACAGATCGTTTGGCCGACCGTGACGGAGCTTGACCCCAGATGTGTCATTCCAGAGGTAATTATCTACAGGGCTTTACCTGATGGTGCTGTTGTGTAGGCAGGGATGACGCTGTGTGTCAAATGGCACTTTCAACATTTTTAAACATTTTTTAACACACCAACGCACATAAAGGGGAAAAATCTGGCGCTTCGACTAAAAAGAGAAATATTAAATACAAGATGTATATCTTTGTCTCAAAATGGTACAATAAATAAATAATATATAATTAATATTAGAATGGTTATAAACCAAAAGACAACACATCATGAATGTTTGATGTTTTTCAATTTACCAACTACTTTCCCTTTTTAGGAAAAGAATTTTTAAAATATTTATATCTAACCATATACCTATGGCTGTCTAAATATTTATAATGAATTACAATAAAAGTAATGTTTCAGATATTTTGTGATTGCTTTTTTTTTGGTTATATAATTCTGACAATGAATCAGATACTGAGCCTGTTTTATTTCTGCAGAGTTTAAAGCTATACATTTCTAACAATGATTTAGATATTGAGTCTGTTTTATTTCTGCAGAGTTTAAAGCCAAGTTTGAGCAAACAGCCATGTGAAAGGTTATTAGCATGTCCAAAGAGGCAGCTGCTCCATGAAGGGCAGATCACTCTTGTTGGTGAGCAAGTTTAACACAAGAATCAGTTTCTACAGAATTAATAAAGGATAACCAAACATATCCATAGAAATGAAGATTAATAAATTTAATCATACATTATATTGACAAAAAAATTAAAGTAAATTAAACTATTGCAATTTTGTGTAAATGCATCTTAAATGTAATTAATTTAAGTGAAATTATACAAGAATTTTTTATATTAATTTTAATATTTGTATCCATATGAAACATTAGATTAATTTGATGTTTCTTCTTTAAATGTGATTCTAACTAATTTAAAGCAATCAATAACAACATAATAGTTATTAAGTTATAATTTTTTTAAATTGTAATTTTTTGTTATTTTTTTCAGAAACACCAAAGCCATTAGATATACACATGTTCCTATTTGATGACATCTTGCTAATCACCAAGGTCAAAAAGGTTCCAAGAAAGGTAACTCTTAAATTTTAATTTTTTTTAAAAATACTTACTTACAGATTCCTGGCAACACAAGGTTTTTTTTTTATCAAAAATAATGCTAAAATGCAAACCATTAATGTTTTTTTATTATCTGTTATTTATAATCTATGCTGCAAGACTTAACATTTTCTTTTTGTTAAAATGTTAAAATTTTGTATGGCAGTCCAAGCAGTCGTCATCTGACATTCAAACATCTGGACAGTCAGACAGAGCATCCTACATTGTCCTGAGGCAGCCCCTAGCTCTAGATAGATTCACAATACACGATATATCCCCATCAGATGCCGCAGGTAATGCTGGTCGACTTGGCTTTGGTGGTCTATGTTTATATTGTGGGGAGGGTGGAACATATTGTGCCGCTAATAATGACGCAATTTAAAAATTGTAATCTGAACACCTGAACCAACATAGTTTACTGTATGAAGACTAGGTTCGGATATAGTTATATACTGCATTTTAACTTGTTAAATGTATTCTTCAAATTATTTCTGTCAATTAAACACCACAACACAATCAAATATAAAAAGAATTATTTTTTTATTTTATATTTTTTTATAATCAGACAATTAAAACACAAAGAAATGTTAATACTTATTGATCTATCAGACATGAGTAAAAGATGTTATTTAAGCCCCTTGTGTTCTCCACAGTGAATGGGTTGAAACACTGCTTTGTACTTGTTCACATCTCACGCTACCAACAAATTACTGGCGTCTTCACATTTCAAGCGGCATGCGATGCCACAAAAGTAAGAATTCATTTACACATCTGTCAGATTTTAGTCTAATTTTATTAAAGACATCTTTAATTTAGGGTGTGAAACAACATTTGTCTTTGGGTGTAAAATCTTTTTTTTTGGATAGATTCTTGTTAATACAGGTAGTGACCAGTGTTAAGTACAAGTTTAGATTTAACTATTAGCACTTACGTCATTACCCTGGTGCTCATAGTGTGTGGGTTAGGGTATGGTTTAAGTAGAGTTTTGTTATTTTTGTTATTATAGCTTCAAGGTTTTTCTTTGTCCCTGCTAAAACAGAAAAGTAGCAATTATTTTTAAATATTTTGAAAATCTCATTTGTTAAAATCTCATTTGTTAAAATCTTATTTGTTAAAATCTCATTTGTTAAAATCTCATTTGTTAAAATCTCATTTGTTAAAATCTCATTTGTTAAAATCTCATTTGTTAAAATCTCATTTGTTAAAATCTCATTTGTTAAAATCTCATTTGTTAAAATCTCATTTGTTAAAATCTCATGTGTTAAAATCTCATTTGTTAAAATCTCATGTGTTAAAATCTCATGTGTTAAAATCTCATGTGTTAAAATCTCATGTGTTAAAATCTCATGTGTTAAAGTCTCATGTGTTAAAATCTCATGTGTTAAAATCTCATTTGTTAAAATCTCATTTGTTAAAGTCTCATTTGTTAAAATCTCATCCCCTTTTGTTACTGCAGAACACCTGGCTGACCCAGATCAGGGATGCTATGGAGGCTTACGCTAAAGCTGCCACCAGCAGGAACAGCTCGTTTAAGGAGAACAGAGATCCAAAGGTGGAAGAGAAGGAAGTAGCGCCTCGGCCAAGGGACAAAGATAGGACAGAAATCAATTACCAGAACTCTAATGCCCCACGAAGATTTCTTAGTGGAAGTCTGAAAAATGTGCCAACAAAGTCTCGATCCATGGATGCAGTGTTTATTTGATGATTTCTCTTTGTGATAGTTTATTAAAATTCTCTTTGGGATTGTTTATAAAATTTGTGTTTAAATTTGGTAAAATTCTAAAATGGATATTTTAGAAATGCTTCTAGGAAATGGACATAGAGAATTGACTTATTGAGACATGGGATGTTGCTGTCTGATAAACCAGTCCTTTTGATAGATCAGGCATGCATCAAATTTGATAGGCTGTCAAATAAACCAAAAAATCCATTAAATTTGACAAAGTGTCAACTGCCAACATCTTAACTGGCCAGTTTATTGCCGGCTGCACATGCCCATACAGAAATGTGATACTTGTGTGTATATGTAGTGCTTTGCTTCATAACATTCACTAGTCTACAAATCTTCACAACTTCATGACAACACTGAAATGTATCATTTGTTTTGTTTTTATCTCTGGCTAGAGAACTTTTTTAATGGAGGACAACTCTGTTTCACTAGTTCAAAATGTTTTGGAAATAGTAAACAATAGATAATGAGCAAACAAAACAGTGTGAAATTCTATTTTAAATATTGGGAGTAAACACAATAAAAATCAAGTTTCTTGGATTTACTACTGAAATTTTCTAACACTGGATCGTGTTTTATTTCTACACTCAATAGATAACATCGTTTTTGTTTCTACACTCAATGGATAACATAGTTTCCGCAAACTGTTTGAGATCTGTGTAAATATTTTACCAAAGGATAGCTACACTCATGACTTAGTTTTTTTAATTTTATTCCACACAGCTAACAAAAATAAATATATTTGTAATTGTCTTACAAACATTTATCTTTGTTTAATTTCAGTTTTGTATCTTTTTGCTCACTTATTAGCTTTGCTCACTAATTTTCCATAATAAATATTATTTGTACTTAAAACCAACAATTGTACAATCCAATACAGTACAATTTGTTCCATTTCTTCAATGCTTTATATTAGTTAAATGTTTTTATTTTATAAGTAATCTTGTTTTATTGTCAACAACGTTCTTTTTTAAACATTTGTTTTAAAAAAAAATTGAAATTATAAGAAAACACACATTTGCACTACTGTAGGCTTACTTATGTTCTGATTAGAATACAAAATACAATACCTCATCCACTTCCCATTGTCTTGCCAGCCTTAACTTCCTACTATCATTAAAGAGCTATTAAACACATTAGTTTCTGCTCATCATTGATAATGTATGAAAAGAAAATGATGTCACCATCACATCTAAGACCTCAGATGAACTAAATAAAGTATACGTTTTCATTATTCTTCAACAACATAGTGTAGACATTTGACATAATTTTCCAAACTTCTTAACATATTGCCATGCAAACACCTAAAGTTATCAAATATTATTGCATCTCTAAAAACTTGACTGCAATTTATTTTGTTGCTGCAAAATATCTTTTATACATATTTATAAAAATAACAAGTTTAATATTTATCTATATATACATATATTTGTAGATATCTTAATATAAATAAATGTGTACATATGGATGTATATATGTATGTATTCATTGCATCTGTCTTTATGTGTATTTGTATATATAGGCTTATATATATATATGTGTGTTTACAAAAGAACACCATGTATGTGTAAAGTGTATAAAGTTACTATCTGTAAATAACTGCGCCTCTGAAGCTAACTCCAACAATGTAACTAGTTTGTTCAGCTAATATCAAGTATTCTCTTTGTACATTTATTTTTTTATTTATTTTTCTCTTACTGTATCCCTGACCCGCATGTCTTTCAAACTGACTCCCATTGTAGGATCAATTTTTCAAAATCAATTTTGGAAGATCTATTTTGGTCATTAATTTTTGGAGATAAAATTAGAAAAATCAATCTTGTAAAATCAAATTGTAAACAATTAGCTTCAATAATTTCTAATCAAACAAAATACAGAAATTGTGTAATTAATCCTAGACATGCTAATACTAAATTGCTTTGGAAGATTATTTTTACAATTGGTTTTTTTTTCTTGTGATTGCACTTCAGACAGTGATTACCTTTTGTAAACAGCTACATCATAGCCTTGGTAATCTTACAGCTAGCCATTATGTGGGGGTAGGACAGTCCAGCAATTAATGCTAGTAATCTAGTAGTTCTACCAGGAAAAAAAAAATTTGTTTTAAAGAAAATTATTTTTTTTAATTAGTTTTGAAACATTTTTATACTTTGTGTTGAACTTATCTTTCTTGTAACAAAGTTCTCTGACAATGAATTTTATAACTGTGATTATTACTTTATTTGTAAAATATTTGCACATAAAAATTACAAAAGAAAACATTCCTGCACAGTTCTGCCCATTTGTGTGGTAATCAATAGTAACCACTTGGATTATTATAAAACTAAAATCATGACCTAGGTACTGGATGAAACAAATAATGTTATTACAGTGTTTGGTGTAGTCAAGTTTTATCTCAGAGGATTTTTTTTCCTTTATTCGATGGGATTAAATACAACACGTTCTCTGTCAGTCAGGAATAAAATGGAGTCAAAATTCAATATTGCTAAGGCTGCCCAGTCTAAATATCTGCCACTACTTAACTCACTACAGTGCAATGCTGGCACCAAAAGCAAGGATATAACAACATTTGAAATAAGCAGGTTCACAAACTTATCAAGGAGAAACTATGTTATGTACATTTTGTCTTTTTCTAAAAGCAACTTTACTTAAAAAGAAAATATAAAAAATAATAGTAGGGTTGGCAAGGTAATATTGGAAAAACTCCTTTATAATTCTATAACAGTCAGTCAAATGAATTAGGACCAAAACAAGTTAATACTTTTTGAAGTGGAAATAAATTAAGGACCATTTTCTAGAATATGTTGGATAATTTTTTTTATTGTGAAAAATCCCTAATTGTATTTTTTTTTTTTAATCATACCAAAGATCAGTCTAATGAAAATTATAATGGCCACTTCTTGTATTTAGAAGCAAACAATTAAATGCTTAATCTTTGCCACAAGGACACTGGTTCTGGTTCCAATCAATGCTGACTGCTCACCTCATTTACAGACCTATTAGTGACAAATTAAGTTATGAACCATACCATGATGTTCATAAAAGATCTAATATAAAAATAATTTTAAAATTACACAAGTTGTTATTTAGCCAAGTTTCTACTCAAGCATGTAGGCAAGCTCACATTCAACAAAAAAATTATTTTAACAATTCAATTATTTTTTAAACAGGTCTCTACCATATTATATAATTCTGTACAAAAATATCCTTTTAAATGTCTTACAGGGACCACCCACCCCTCTGCTACTGTGTAATTACCTCCCTCTTCCTGTAAGCTCCTGTATTTTATGTCAAAGTTCTACTGAATGCCTTCCCTTTTAATTTCTATTGTTTTCATGTCATCTCATCCATCAAATTATCTACTCTCTTTACCCCTGTTAATTATCTTTGTATATTGTGTTCAGACCAACACAGATACCAAATGTCGACAACTATTTATTGAGAATAAAATATATGAACTATGAACGACTTTTTCTTTATGTGTCTTGATTTACATTTTTATGCATTGCTTTTATTTTTATGTCCATAAGTAGAGTTATAGACCGTAATGAAAAATATTTGTTTAGGCCTGTATATAGTCTTACATTAATTATAAGCTTATTTATTTGGTATGAGCCTTTTTTAAGATTAATCTACCCATTCATAAATGCCCTTCTCTCCCCCCCCCCCCCCCAAACCTTATTTCCTGCAGAAAGGACGCCACTCATGCCCCCCGTCTCCCTGTAAATTGTAAACAAATATAACGCCAAGGAACCATAACTCTATGGAACCATGACTAAGATATATAACTCTGAAAAAATAGCATTTTTTTATTATTGTTATTTCTATAAAGCTCAAATGCCTACTGCTCCCGGAGCCCACTAAATATACCTCTAGTTAACTCTAGTAGAATATTGCCTTGTAATTTCTTAAATCAAAAATGAATTTTCTATGTTAGATAATATAAGTAATTTTAGATTTTATTCACTAACACTGTATGAATGTGATGGCTGTAAATCAAAATAGTAAATGCGTCGATATCGTAGTTGTTAGATCCATTTTGATTGTTTTGGTAGGAAAACATTATTTAGAGAACTAAAAATCAATTTGTTTTTGGAAAGAGGGTATAAACCAGGGGTCGGCAACATGTGGCTCGCGAGCCGCATGCGGCTCTTTTGATATCAAGATGCGGCTCTCCAGCTCCTTGAACAAATACTAATAATCTTAATAAAAAAATAAAATATTTGAAATTAAAAAAATGTTAGTGGCTCTTTAAAACCAGGGAAATTTTGAAAATTGTAACTTTTGGCTCTTCCGCTTCAAAAGGTTGCCGACCCCTGGTATAAACTGATTTTGCCATCGTGTGCAGAATATTAAATATTAGAAAAAAAACAACAACAGAGAACTAAAACATTTTGGAATTTGGTACAACTTTCATAGTTTTAATTTTGTTGTTAGGACTAAGGATAAAACTATTGAACTTTACTACTCGAAGAAATAGTGACCTAATCCTCTGTGTGTGTTAACTAAATTCTACCCTGTGCAAGCATACATTTCAAAAATACAATTTCCTAGCATTAGTAAATGAAAAATGTATTAATAATAATTAATTAATTAAAAATTTCATTAAAAAAGTTTTAATAACAAGCTTTTATATACTAATGCACTAAAAAGTAGAAAATAAATTATAGACTACTATTTAAATACTATAAAGAAAAGCGTGGGTCACTTTAGTATCTATTGGATACCTTTACTAAAGTTTAGGAAGTGACCCACGCTTTACTTTATAGTAATTTAAATAGTAGTCTATAATTTATGTTCTACTTTTTAGTGCATTAGTACATAAAAGCTTGTTATTGAAACGTTTTTTATGAAATTTATTTTAGTACTTTACATGTTTTTATTTACAATAGAGTTACATGACTAAAAACCATTGCTCGCCTTTTGATCGCAGCTATTGAACGTAATGACGCGTGTGGTGTGGTCCGAATTTTAATTAATTCATAAAAAATTAATTAGGCATCCAATTAAGTCAAATTTAATTTTAGATTGCATTGTCTTCGTGTCTTGACCTACGTGCCAACTGTGAATGGTATCTGTCAAGTAGAAGTGTCCGAATTTTCGCTCCGGCGTTTCGATCTAGACAGACTGACGACAGAGGAAGTGAGTTAAATAAAAGCTTGTAAAAATAAACTACTGTTAAAAGATTTGCATTTAGTTGGCGACCGTAGTAAACTGGCAAGACAATCAGAGTTGTTTCTCTTGGGTGGGTATCTCTCTACCTACGAAATATACTAATTAGCATGTACATAGTATGTTATGTAAAAACACACTCACACACACATAAATTTAAAAGAATAAAAAATGTGAACTTAGTACTTTGACTAATGTACCGTTTAATGAGTTATAGGCATTGAATTTATGATATCACTCCTAAAGCAAGTTTTCGTGTTGAAAGATTATAAGGACATAGATGAAATTTGTATAGTAAACATATACTTTTACTAGGGCCCCACCCCCCGGAAAATGTTGACCGCCCCCCCCCCCCCGAAAATATCATGCGCCCCCCTCAGGAGAAAAAAGTCTGGAAGAAACACTGCTTTCACCGCCCCTCATCACAGACAAATTGTATTTTTTTAATATTCCAGCGAGTTTTTTTTTATTCAATGTTAACTGATCTCGGTCGAAATTGAACATCTACATCTATTTGTTTGGGGGCCAACAATTTGTAAATAAAATTCTAAAATGTGAAATGAAAGCTAAATTTCAGTTTTAAACATAGCTTTTTCAAATATGCGTGGTCACACTTTCTGAGCAAACCAGTAGCGTAGCGAGGGGGGGGGGGGGGGGCAGGGGGGGGGGGGGGCATATGTCCCCGGGCGCCGACCTTAGGGGGCGCCAAAATGGGTTGGAAAAAAATGGAAAGGTTGAGGGGGGTGCAAATCGAAAGTTTGAGGGGGTGGAAATGGAAATCTCGAGGGGGGGGGGGTGCAAATCGAAATCTCGAGGGGGGGGGGGGTGCAAATCGAAAAGTTTGTCCCCGGGCGCCGGGAAGGGTCGCTACGCCTCTGGAGCAACCCCCCCCCCCCCCCCCCACACCCTTCTACTCTTTCTCCGCCTGCTTTTATTGTCTGCTTTTATTGTCTGCTTTTATTGTCTGCTTCTATAGCCTTCATACCTTGACAACACAACCAATGCTAGCCTACAGATTTTAGACATGTTTATTCGGCCTGTTTATTCTAGGAGTTCCTTCCCCTGTCACAGGCTCCACCACATCACGTGGTCACGATTCGTCTGAGACCTTTGACCTCTACACCCTGTGTGACCCAGCTTTCGGTTAGTGGTTGTCTGCGCTTGGTTTAGTGGTGTGAATTGTGGTCGGCTTTCATTTCTTCTGATAGAAGCTTTCTATTTTCACGTCATTCCCTCTCAAGTACTCATTCGCTGTTAAGCTTAATTGCAAATGAGATTAGTAAACCACAGACAATTGACAAAAACATTTTTAATTACGTTTCATAAACTTTCTTACAACGCAACACTGCAGCAATAGTGGTTGAAAGCATCTATTTGGAGGTGGGGAGGGAGGTACTGCCAAAGCACCCTTCCCCGACCCTCCCCCTCTCTTCCCCCCCCCCCCCCCGCCCCCTTCCATCGGACGGAATAGAGTAAATGTATAATTTATATAGAAATTTAATCAGTGGCCGTTCCCTGGAAATGTTATGTAAGTGCCTCCCCCCCCCTAAAATCAAGGTATTTCATAGAACGTACTTGCTGATTTATTATACCCTCTCCACCTTGTCACCCATCTCAAAATGCTACCCCCCCCCCCACCCCTAAAATGACGTCATACTTCAGGCATAAAAATCAATTATCTTCTAAGACTATTAATTAAACTTGGCCAAGATTATGTAGGGTCTATATATATCAATTTGTGTTACATTAAAAAACTTTGAAAGCAAAAGTATGGCGTCACATTTGTTATTTCTCCCCCCGTCTGACGCACCACCTAGGGACGCCAATGCTCACAATGTAGCCAGCCTACAGGATCAAATCACAAATAAAAGAAAACTTAAAACAAAATCGTACAGTGAATGGTTATAGATTAAGTGTTAGCACTTATTTGTAGCGTCATGAATCACCCTCGATCGAGAAAAAAAAAATATTGGCGTTAAAAGGAATGAATCACTACAACTACGGTTCAAATCAATTAAACTCAGATTTTAGGCCACACGACATGAAAGTGACAAAACGATCTTACAATAAATTGTTATCTCGATGCTATGAAGATATAAGGCTTTATCTATATAAAACACTTTCTTAATTTCAAAGTTCATCTTGTTTTTAAATTGCTTCAATGTAAATCCGGTAACGAATATTTAGATTCACTCATCCCAAAAGCTAAAACTTATTATAAAAGCTGAACTTATTTGAACTATGGCCTCTGACGTGTACTTAATGACAACATGTCATTGCGAGATTACTGGCCTATGACATGCCGTCAGCGTCATTTACTTGCACATGTCTATTGTTGTGTCATTTATTGTCATTTATCTGCAAATGTCTTTTGGATGTGTCATTTTTCATCTACCTGCTTATGTCTTTTGATGTGTCATTTGTCATTTACCTGCACATGTCTTTTGTTGTGTCATTTGACATTTACCTGCAAATGACTTTTGGATGTGTCATTTGTCATTTGTCATCAACATAAGTTGGTAATTTAAAATGTAATTCGAGAGATATTTGAAAACTAGTTAGTTTCCATAATTACTTTCTCGTATATACGAAGTATAGAGAAAGAATGGTAATCGTGCAAAAAAAAATCGAGATTTTTACAAATCTCGACGTTTTACATCTCACTGATACGGAAAAACATAATTTTGCAATCTTGTCCGTATGTCTATGTGTCTGTGTTTGTGTGTGTGTAAACACGATAACTTGAGTACCGTTACAGCTAGGTTGATGAAATTTCATATATAAGTATTTTATCAAAATCGTAGATCCGTATCAACTTTTGAGCGATTTCCGATAACCGGAAGTGGTACTTTTCCTACTTTGAAACTTTCAAAAGCCTATAACTTGAGTACTATTTCAGATAGATAAACGAAATTTCACATGTAAGTAAAAGATCTAATTCTCTACCTTCTGTTAAATTTTGAGTCATTTCCGTTGAACGGAAGTAGTAATTTACGCTACTTCCGATTTCTCAAAAAACTAATGTAAATTTTTAAAGTACTAAAATATTGCGCACTATTAGTATGCACTTTTTTATTTAGCGTTCACTTGGTGTGCAATTCTTTTGTCTACGAGATTTTATTCTATTTTTAAAACTTTATGTATTTAAAATGGATTAAAAATCATGTCTATAGCCCGAGTTCCCATCCCCTGTTATTTTATATAAAAATATGCGAGAAAGTTTAGGGGAGATCACTCCCGGTTTATTTTTATTTACTTTTAAGCTTTATTTTAAAGTAGATTTGTTCAGTTTTTATCTTAGACCTTCCAACGGATAACAGGCTTTGTCGTGCATCTACAACTAACTTTTCTCTTTCCATTTTCTCCAAGGCCAGTTACTCCTATCTTACATTCCCCCCCCCCCCTATATTTTAACATTACTTTTTTCCTTACATAAAGCATTATCCAATAGGCCCCCTTGTTTTTGTTACCCTACTTCCCCCCAAAAAAACTCTTACCCCTCCCTTCCTTCCCAACGTCTCCCCACTCAGCAATACCTCAACACCTCCCCCCTCCCCCTCCCCCTGTTGTATTCCTTCCCTTGAACTTACTTCCTTGATCGCTAAGATTTCCTCCGGCGTGTTTATAAGCAAAACGGAGCGGGTAAATTACGAGACAGGATAAGGAGTCCCATTCAAGGCTAGTAAAGAAAAAGTTTATTTAAAAATTTCTAAAAAAAAATAAAAAAATTCTATTACCCCCCTCCCCCCCCCCCCTCCTCACATTTCTAGTGGGGGTAAGTGTGTCCTGGGCTGCGAGAGTCGGCGTTGTTGTCTGCAGATAACAAGGAAGGGACAAATTACTTGAGTGTCATTAGCGCGGTCTCCTGGATCAAGGTATGTGCAGTTTATTTTCTGTAGCCAGTTTTGTTGTCTTATTGAGTTTATTTTCTGTAGCCAGTTTTGTTGTCTTATTTCAGATATCAATGTTAGTCTTGAAATGGTGTTCTGATTTTTAAAAAAAATCAATTGGATATGTTTCATAATCATTAGCCGTAAAAACCTGTATAATAATTTGCCATAGCACAGTTATCATCTCTATAATTATCTGTCATAACATATTTATTATCTCTATAATAATCTGTCATAACATATTTATTATCTCTATAATAATCTGTCATAACATATTTATTATCTCTATAATTATCTGTCATAACGAATTTATCACCTCTATATTTATATCAATCTGTTGTAAGAAATATAATAATATATCATCTCTATAAAAATCTGTCATAACAAATATATCATTGATCATTGTTTAAATAAACGTGTTATGACAGATTATAAAACGCTTCTCATAACACATCTGTCATAGTATATCTGTCATAGTACATCTGTCATAGTACATCTGTCATAGTACATCTGTCATAATACATCTGTCATAATACATCTTTCATAATGCATATGTCATAAAACATCTCATAGACATCCCATAGATATCTCATAGACATCCCATAGACATCTCATAGACATTTCATAGACATCTAGTAGATATTTCATACCGGTATAGAAACCCTCCACCCACCAACCCTTTGTTTTCGTTGAACACTCTAAAACCGGATGAATATTAACCCTCTCAATGGATCTAAATAAAACTGTTATTTTTTTTTATTATTTTCACACGAATGTTGTGTACGGCGTGGTTGAAAGGCAGAGCGTACGACTGGTAACAAAATAGCCTTGAGTTCGAATCTTACCCGCCCAGCTCTCCCACGTGTCCTTGGGCCTTACCTAGAAAAATAAATAACATTAATACAGGAATCTTCGACACGTTTTGGGTCAGTTAAACAATTAAATGTTCTAATGATTATATAAACAAAGGCATCATACCATCTAAACCAGACAAAGTTTACCACTGTGTATTACATATTTTTTAAACTTGGATTCGGCCATTTAATATCAGTAAAAGAACGCATTTCGGAGAATCGACATAGCGCCCGAAAAAAAAAATCATCGGCATCAGCCATTGCTCTTTCTATCATTTAACAGCGGCCCTAGTCTATGTTTGGTGTGGCCCAGTCTACCTGCTCTGTTGTAGTCTGTTGTGGCCCAGTCTACCTGCTCTGTTGTAGCCTATGTTTGTTGTGGCCCAGTCTACCTGCTCTGTTGTAGCCTGTGGCCCAGTCTACCTGCTCTGTTGTAGCCTGTTGTGGCCCAATCTACCTGCTCTGTTGTAGTCTGTTGTGGCCCAGTCTACCTGCTCTGTTGTAGCCTATGTTTGTTGTGGCCCAATCTACCTGCTCTGTTGTAGCCTGTTGTGGCCCAGTCTACCTGCTCTGTTGTGGCCTATGTTTGTTGCGGCCCAGTCTACCTGCTCTGTTGTAGCCTATGTTTGTTGCGGCCCAATCTACCTGCTCTGTTGTAGCCTGTTGTGGCCCAGTCTACCTGCTCTGTTGTGGCCTGTTTGTTGTGGCCCAATCTACCTGCTCTGTTGTAGCCTGTTGTGGCCCAGTCTACCTGCTCTGTTGTAGCCTATGTTTGTTGCGGCCCAGTCTACCTGCTCTGTTGTAGCCTATGTTTGTTGTGGCCCAGTCTACCTGCTCTGTTGTAGCCTATGTTTGTTGTGGCCCAATCTACCTGCTCTGTTGTAGCCTGTTGTGGCCCAGTCTACCTGCTCTGTTGTGGCCTATGTTTGTTGCGGCCCAATCTACCTGCTCTGTTGTAGCCTGTGGCCCAGTCTACCTGCTCTGTTGTGGCCTATGTTTGTTGTGGCCCAATCTACCTGCTCTGTTGTAGCCTGTTGTGGCCCAGTCTACCTGCTCTGTTGTGGCCTATGTTTGTTGCGGCCCAATCTACCTGCTCTGTTGTAGCCTGTGGCCCAGTCTACCTGCTCTGTTGTAGCCTATGTTTGTTGCGGCCCAGTCTACCTGCTCTGTTGTAGCCTATGTTTGTTGCGGCCCAATCTACCTGCTCTGTTGTAGCCTGTTGTGGCCCAGTCTACCTGCTCTGTTGTGGCCTGTTTGTTGTGGCCCAATCTACCTGCTCTGTTGTAGCCTGTTGTGGCCCAGTCTACCTGCTCTGTTGTAGCCTATGTTTGTTGCGGCCCAGTCTACCTGCTCTGTTGTAGCCTATGTTTGTTGTGGCCCAGTCTACCTGCTCTGTTGTAGCCTATGTTTGTTGTGGCCCAGTCTACCTGCTCTGTTGTAGCCTGTGGCCCAGTCTACCTGCTCTGTTGTAGCCTATGTTTGTTGTGGCCCAGTCTACCTGCTCTGTTGTAGCCTGTGGCCCAGTCTACCTGCTCTGTTGTAGCCTGTTGTGGCCCAATCTACCTGCTGTTGTAGCCTATGTTTGTTGTGGCCCAGTCTACCTGCTCTGTTGTGGCCTGTTTGTTGTGGCCCAGTCTACCTGCTCTGTTGTGGCCTGCTGTGGCCCAGTCTACCTGCTCTGTTGTTGCCTGCTGTGGCCCAGTCTACCTGCTCTGTTGTAGCCTATGTTTGTTGTGGCACAGTCTACCTGCTCTGTTGTAGCCTATGTTTGTTGTGGCCCAGTCTACCTGCTCTGTTGTAGCCTATGTTTGTTGCGGCCCAGTCTACCTGCTCTGTTGTAGCCTGTTGTGGCCCAGTCTACCTGCTCTGTTGTAGCCTGTTGTGGCCCAATCTACCTGCTCTGTTGTAGCCTATGTTTGTTGTGGCCCAGTCTACCTGCTCTGTTGTAGCCTGTGGCCCAGTCTACCTGCTCTGTTGTAGCCTATGTTTGTTGTGGCCCAGTCTACCTGCTCTGTTGTAGCCTATGTTTGTTGTGGCCCAGTCTACCTGCTCTGTTGTAGCCTATGTTTTTGCGGCCCAGTCTACCTGCTCTGTTGTAGCCTATGTTTGTTGTGGCACAGTCTACCTGCTCTGTTGTAGCCTATGTTTGTTGTGGCCCAGTCTACCTGCTCTGTTGTAGCCTGTGGCCCAGTCTACCTGCTCTGTTGTAGCCTATGTTTGTTGTGGCCCAGTCTACCTGCTCTGTTGTAGCCTATGTTTGTTGTGGCCCAGTCCACCTGCTCTGTTGTAGCCTGTGGCCCAGTCTACCTGCTGTTGTAGCCTATGTTTGTTGTGGCCCAGTCTACCTGCTCTGTTGTAGCCTATGTTTGTTGTGGCCCAGTCTACCTGCTCTGTTGTAGCCTATGTTTGTTGTGGCCCAGTCTACCTGCTCTGTTGTAGCCTGTTGTGGCCCAGTCTACCTGCTCTGTTGTAGCCTGTGTTTGTTGTGGCACAGTCTACCTGCTCTGTTGTAGCCTATGTTTGTTGTGGCCCAGTCTACCTGCTCTGTTGTAGCCTGTGGCCCAGTCTACCTGCTCTGTTGTAGCCTATGTTTGTTGTGGCCCAGTCTACCTGCTCTGTTGTAGCCTATGTTTGTTGTGGCCCAGTCTACCTGCTCTGTTGTAGCCTGTGGCCCAGTCTACCTGCTCTGTTGTAGCCTATTGTGGCCCAGTCTACCTGCTCTGTTGTAGCCTATGTTTGTTGTGGCCCAGTCTACCTGCTCTGTTGTAGCCTATTGTGGCCCAGTCTACCTGCTCTGTTGTAGCCTATGTTTGTTGTGGCCCAGTCTACCTGCTCTGTTGTAGCCTGTGGCCCAGTCTACCTGCTCTGTTGTAGCCTATTGTGGCCCAGTCTACCTGCTCTGTTGTAGCCTGTTGTGGCCCAGTCTACCTGCTCTGTTGTAGCCTATGTTTGTTGTGGCCCAGTCTACCTGCTCTGTTGTTCTGTGTGAGACGACGTCCCTTCTCAACGTTTACTCGGCGTGCCAGGGTTCGCCATAAGGCTTGCTGCATCTAGGGACTGTTGACTAATTTGTTTTGTGTAATTAGGCCAATTAGTGGTTCTGCATGTGTAGATTTAGGTGTTAGCGATCGCAAGCCCCCCTCCCCCCCCCCCCCCCCCCCCGCCACAACCCTGACAAAAATACGTAGATTTCATATTTATGGTTTAAATGTTTGGGAATGTTTTGTTTTTTAATATTAATCAGACAACCCTAGGGTGAGATAAGGAGAGATAATGAAGTACACATATCTCTGTAGACTAGATCCATTAATACAGCACGCAATGTATGTTATTGGGCAGACGTTATGTAAACAGTAACGTACAGTAGTGTTGGGTATTTAGTTTTATTGAGTAGGCCTGGGGTTTCATAAAAAAATGTGAGTTAGACAAGAGTCACAACCTAGGGATTGATACACCTACAGTAGACCAGAGCCACAACCTAGGGATTGATACATCTACAGTAGAGTCACAACCTAGGGATTGATACACCTACAGTAGACCAGAGCCACAACCTAGGGATTGATACATCTACAGTAGAGTCACAACCTAGGGATTGATACACCTACAGTAGACCAGAGTCACAACCTAGGGATTGATACATCTACAGTAGACTAGAGTCACAACCTAGGGATTGATACGCCTACAATAGACCAGAGTCACAGGCTAGGGATTGATACAGCTACAGTAGACCAGAGTCACAACCTAGGGATTGATACATCTACAGTAGAGTCACAACCTAGGGACTGATACACCTACAGTAAAGTCACAACCTAGGCATTGATACATGTACAGTAGACCAGAGTCACAACCTAGGGACTGATACACCTACAGTACAGTCACAACCTAGGGATTGATACATCTACAGTAGACCAGAGTCACAACCTAGGGATTGATACATCTACAGTAGACCAGAGTCACCACCTAGGGATTGATACACCTACAGTAGACCAGAGTCACAATCTAGGGACTGATACACCAATAGTACAGTCACAACCTAGGGATTGATACGCCTACAATAGACCAGAGTCACAGGCTAGGGATTGATACAGCTACAGTAGACCAGAGTCACAACCTAGGGATTGATACATCTAC